TGAGAGGGATGAGGCTTGTGCCTTTCCCACAATCCTGCTTCAGAACGCTTCGGACCTTCAATACTGAACAAATGACATCACGTTTCCCTGCTAGATCAAACAAGTGACGTGTGGGTGCCCAGGGCAGGGACTCCTGTAGCCAAATCTGAACGCAATGCTGCTCTGTCCTTCCTCAGGGCCATGGTACGCTCTCCGGGCGGGAACAAGTGCCCGACAGGAGGGCGTGCCCACCCCCCATGGTCTCCCCCATGCACCCTCCTTCAGAAGGAGAAGGGCCCTGCTTCCTGGGCCAGCCTGAGCTCTCTCTTGTGGTGCAGGATCTGAGTGGTGGTCTGAGGCAGGAGAGAACGGTCAGGGAAGGACATGGGAGGATACAACCGGCAGAGTCTCCATGGCCTCCTCCTGTACAGTGCTTATACCACAGATCACTATTTTTTTTCTTTTCTTTTTTTAATAAAGAAAAGCGTTTCTTCTCCATCTTCATGATCCCCTCCACCCCACCCCTGCCTTCCTCCTCACTAGCTAGTCCTTCTGAATCTCCTCCCTGACTCCTCTCCCTCTGCCCTCGTATAAGTGTGGGTGATCCTTGAATGCTATCCCTAGTGTTACCTTCAAACTCATAGACTAACATGTAACTACATCCTCGAACTACACTTTTACCCCAGCACTCTCTGCTGGGGTATAACTGTTTGTCCCTAGGTAACAGCTCAGGGCAACAGCTAGCATTTGAACACAATGGTGGGCATTATTGCAAGCATACCTGTGAGGTATGTACAGTTATAACTCTGTTTTTACAGATGGAGAAACCGAGGCACACAGAAGTAATGTAACTTGCCCGATGTCAACAAGAGGTAAATCTAGGATCTGAACCCAGGTAGTCGGGCTCAGAGTCTGTGAGTTCAGCCACCATGCAATGGCCTGCCTCTGAGCCAAGGGACATGCAGCACATCCAGAAACAAAACCCTGGACTCCCCCTTCCAAACCAAGGGCGGTGGTGGGAAATCCCAAGTGACAAGAAAGTGAGCCCTTGTAGCATCTCACTAAATGTGGGGTCCTGAGACTGTCGTGAGAAAATCCATGCTGTTTAAATGAAGTGAAAAGCAAGTTTAAAAAGAGGTGTAGAGGGCAGGGAGGTCGAATCCGGTCACAGCACCAAGGGGACTGGCTTGTGCAGTTTGTGCATTTACAAAAGGAGGAGGCAGCACAATGACAATCACAAAACCATAACCTCAGGGTCACACTGAGCAATATGAGGTATAACTGCCAGGGCCAGGCCACCAGACCTCTTTGCTGCATGCTTTGGAGAGGAGGAAAATGCACCAAGAAACTGGGAGGTGAAGTTAAAAAAAAAAAAATAGAGAAGAGACTAAATGGGCTTGGAAGTACTGGGTAGGGAAAAAGTCAGAGTTGAAGGAGTAGTTTCTGATGCCAATATTCATATTTGTCTCATTTTTGCGACAATAATAATTAAAGTTAACATTTAATGAGCTTTTACTATGTGTCAGGCACTGTGCTAAAGGATGTGTAGGCTCTGACTTGTAAAATGAATGAATCTGCATTACAAACTTTAGCTGTGCTATTAATTGCCTTATGTGTCAGATGAAGAGATTGAAGATATGATTAAGTATGCCTTACAGATGCTCAAAACAGAGGCTCAAAGACAGTGAGTCTCTCAGGCAAAGTTGCATAGCTAGAGCGGCAGACCTGGAATTCAAGCCAGGCCATGCAATCTCTGTTTGTCAAATGAAGGAAGGAATGACTGACTGAACATACAAATGACGATTCTCTTGTGTGCTAGCTGTGGATGGCTGTTCTGGTTGGGGTCTGGGTTTCGGTAGCTGGGCACCTGAGGTTTTGTGGAACAGCAGGGATATTTTCAATGGTATTCCAGTGCCCACCTGGGAGAGGAAAGAGGATCACCCTGCAGACCTCCCCGACACAGTGCTGGGGTTTTCATGCTCTGATGTTGAGAGGGCAGGAAAAGGCCCCACCCATGACCAATGTATGTATGGAGGCTGGGACATTAGGCGGTGAGATGGTGGAAAGGGAGAGAGGGCTCTCCTCAAGAGAAAAAAAGCTGAAAACACAAAAGGAACAATCTGAAGAAACAGACACAGGGCTGAAGATGCAGAGGGGAGACCCAGGCTATGGTGCAGGAAAGCAGGTCAAAGAAAGCCTGCGGCTAATGCTGATGCTGCCGCAGGGATCTGGGAGGGGCTGTCCCCCACCCGGCCTGCAGAGCTCTACAGAGCAGAAGCGGGGACTGGGGGTCTCAGCTGTGTGGGCGGAGCCATGGCGCTGCTCTCTGCAGGGGCCTTGGCCTCTGGCTGCTGGGCCTAAGAACTGTTGGTCCCCGTTGACCATAACCAGGGGAAGCGGGGTCAGGGAAGGAAAGAGGAAGGGGAAATGAAGGGAGTGGGCAAGCTATAGTTACAATGGTTATGACGAAGGAAGAATCCGTGTTATCTTGTTAAAAGGCAGCACAGCACCAGGGACTGCGATCTTGCGGGGATAGATTCTGGGAAAGCAAAAACGCAGCAGCTTTGAAACGTGGAAATGAGTTAGGGGGAGAAGGAGTCACAAGAGCAAAACCCATCACAGAGAAAACCAGGGTGAAACAGAAGAAGCGGAAACAATGAAAGCTGGAGAGTGTTGAGTTTATAAGAAATTGATACGTGATGCTCAGTGGAAACCAGCTTTGGCTTTGGGGATGGGAGAACTGTAAGCATGGATAATATGTAAATACTGTTTATAACTTGAAAAATCTGGAAGGCTCAGATGAGATAAACTTTCTGAGGGTGTTCTGACAAGTATGAAGGAAGATATTTGTGGCCGAGGGAAAGGGCGCTGGATATGGAACCTGAAAACTAGAGTCGAGTGCCCCCTCTGAGGGGTTGGAGGGGAGGTGAGGACAAGCCTCTGGTCCTCTCATGTGCCTCTGAGTCCTCAGGCCGGAAAGTGGCAGTAACTGCCCTTTCACACGGTGGCTCTGAAGGGCTTCATTGGTTTCCCGGGATGGCCACAACAAAGTACCACAAACTGGGTGGCTTAAAACAATAGAAATCTATTTTCTCACAAATTTAGAGGGCAGAAGGCCAAAAGCAAGGTGTCAGCAGGACTGTGCTCCCTCCCCAGGCTCTAGAGGAAAAGCCTTGCTTGCTTCTCTCAGCCTCTGGTGGCCCCATGGGGTCCCTAACTGGTGGATGCAACACTCCAACCTCTGCTCTGTCTTCCCATGGCCTCCTGTCCTATGTTTCTGTGTGTCCTTTCCTCTTTTTCGAAGGAAAGCAGTTGTTGGAATTAGATCACCAGGATGATGTCATCTTGAGACTACTAATTATATATGAAAAGACCCTCTTTCCAAACAAGGCTGCCTTCTGAGGTCCTGGGTGGACACGAATCTGTGGAGGACACTACTCAACCCACCACAGGGTCCAGATGCAACAGAGCAAGAGCACCAAATAGAGCTGAAATATTTTCCACATCTTTCTTCTTCTGGCCCCTAAAAAGCCACTCTCCTGATAGTGCCTCCTCATACACCTCTTATGGTTGCCATTGCCCGCTCAGTAAATCCAGTCTCCCAGGCCGGCACTGCAGTCTCTGGCCACTTTTCCAGTCTCTGCTGCTGGCATTTTCCCACCTTCCCAACATCCACCCAGACAACTGACTCCATTTTAACCTTTATGATCCAGTTGAAATTTTTCAAGAAACTTTCTCAAAAGCCCTGAAGGTAAATTCTCCCTGCTCTGAACACCATTGACAGATACTGTTTCTCCTTTTTCACGGGACCATGAACCAGCTCTTTAGACTCCCTTTGATTAAGCCACCATTTATCTCTTGTCTTATTATTTGACATTTTGTGAATTTAATCCTTTTCTTCTGCATCAACCAGGCCTCAAAGAATGGAAAAGTCTTTTTTGAGAATCTAGTTCCATGTCTGGCACAATCCAGATCCTAAGTAACCGTTACTGAATTATTTACTTCCTACTGTCTGAACCCTGTGCCTGCCAAAATTTCTTCCCTTCCACCCATTCAAGGCTGCCTCTCCTGATTACCTGGGTCTGAAGAGAGGCCTTTTTCCTCTGAGCTCCTGGACCACTTGCTCTGGTCCACCGTGTGTTTATCTGATCGTCATTCATTCGCAGAGGTTCTTCAAGTGGCTACTCTGGCTCTGTGCTGGGTTACATCCAGGCTCCCACCGATAAGGCCATCTCATTCACTCTCCCATCCGGAAGGCAAGCAAACTTTCTCATCCTTCTCCCTTTCTTCTCTAGGGCCTAACAGTTCTTCCAATGTTCTACATGCTCAATTAGACAGTTCTATTCAATTGTTTTAGCTAATTCTGAAAGGGCAATGTCAAAGCAGGGACTAAAAGTACTATGAGCATTTATGAGGCACTCAAAACCCTCTGAGAAGGCAGCACAAGGGAACCAAGTCCTGAGCTCTGTATCCAAGGCCAGAAGGGGAAGAGCCAGGCTTTGAGAAGTGGCTTCCCCAGCACCCTGTGCGCCTGCAGCAGGCAGTAGGGAGAACTCAGCCAGCCGGGCTCTGCCTTCAGCGTTCACAACCTGCACTGTCTCACTATGGTAACGGCGCTGTCTCACTATGGCCTCTGACAACCATCAAGAAATCTTTCAGAGACAAGGAGAAAGCTGTTGTTCCTGGAAGCATAGGCAGGGTCATGAATTTGGGACAACTGGGCCTCCGTACAAGGCAGGACCCTTTGGTGCAGGACACTATGCAATACCTTAAGTCTGACTCAGAACACACGCTGCATCCCTCCGCTGCATCCCTCCGCTGCATCCCTCCCTCCAATTCAGCGATAAGGCCCATTGGCTTTTCTCCTGCACTAGCCATAAAGCAGGAGATACAAGGATGTGTCAACAGGGATGAATAACAAACAACACTGCTCTCAGGTGCTTAGCTGACCTGAGTATCTGAAATGCCCTGGGCAGGGGACAGCACTGCCCAGGGCGGCTTGGTGACAGGGAGTCACTCACCAGCATTGTTTTGCTGCTTCGTGTTTTTGATGTAGGCAGAGAACTTGGAGAAGATGTCGATGCCTGCTGTGTTGGATTCCCGGTGTTTTGCAGCCAGCCTGGGGTACCTGAAAAGAAAGACACGGGGTTCTAAAATCAGTGAGAACTTGGAGCTCTTTTAAGGGAGACTCTGTTCCCATCACAAGCAACACTCCTGTTTCTAGCTGAGTCTGCAGATCTTTTGGGGTTTTATACCCACCCTTTAGGTAGGGTGGTCCTCTCAGTGCTAGTTCACCAATAGACAAAAACAGAGGCCTGTGAGCTGCCTGGGGGGACACAGTCTGGAGGCAGGGAATGAGGATACTCTTCAGAGGGGCTAGGGGCTATCTTCTTCCTGGACCACCAATAATAATGCACCAATGAAAGGCCCTAATCAAAATTCTGAACAAGCTCGCTCTGTATCAAGTGATGCCCCTGACTTTTCCCCAATGCACATTAAAATAACTATGCACTGCCAGGCCTGTGATTATATCTTGGCAGTGTGAGAACGAGGGGCTTTGCTGGGTACCCTGGCACTGAGGCTTTGAAATCATTTCTGAAAAGGAAGGATGCCTATGGTCCTCTACTGAAATATCCTTTGCACATTCCTTATTTATGTGCAGTAATAAGATAAGGACCAGGCTCCATCAGGAGGACAAGTGTTTTCAAATGTCTTATTTCTAGGCGTACATACAGATTTACAATGCTCAGCCCCTCTTTCTTGCACATTCTTTCATTCTGAAGCCAGAAGAATATAAAAAGCAAACTGGGGTTAGGACGGTTTATCATTGAGAAAATAGTCCTTGAGACAGAATGAGATAAACTTGCATGTTTGGGAATCCATGTCTTTGACCTCATTTACAGCGAAAAATTATATCACAAGCATTTTATGTGTATTGCCAGGCAGGGGTGAGAGGAGATCTAAGGCAATTGTTTGGCTACCATTATTATCAGTTATGTGAACCTTTGTGATCCCTGGGTAAATAGCTGTCAACTGTGAGCTGTTTGGTTGCTTTATTATTTAAAATATAATAGATTTTTTGTTTAATGTTTTAAATAATTTGAACCAAAAAGCCTTTAAAAATTATTTGTTGTTCTTTCATTTATTTCTGCTCCTCCACTGACCCACGGGCTAGGACTGTCCACTCTTGGGCCATGTTAGGTAGCTGTTTAATTTCAGATATTGTCATTGGACGAGTCTTAAAGTCCCTGGGTCCAGTCCTCTGCCATCAAGCAGATACAGAAGACACTGTCACCCTTATGTTACAGGGAAAGCAACTGGAGACCAGTGAGGTTACATGGCTGTCTGAGGGCCCATGGACACTAGACAGCGGAGGTGCCATGAGAACTGAGTTCCTGCCACTGGAGCTCTGCTCTTCCCCTCCATCTCACCGCTTCTCTGATATCAGCAGAGGCCAACTTGTACTGAGTGCCTGCTATGTGCCGTGCACTCTACTAACCTCTTCACACGTATTCATCATTTGCTCTTCACAATTCTGTTAGTTCTGTTATTAGTCTCATTTCCCACTTGAGAAAAATGAGGCACAGAGAAGAAATTTCTCTATGCTTACGTGGCCGGGTGGCAGAGCCAAGAGTGCAGTCCACTCAGTTTCACTTTTGAAAGCCCAGCTCTTAAGTTTCATCTCCTGAGCCTCTCTTTGATTCTGCTGTTTTACCCTCAAAGCTCCCAAAGCCCTGCTAGAACTTGGTGGAGCATGATGGATAAATTCTCTCCATACACCAGGAGGGGGCGCTCTGTGTAGGTTCTGCACATACACCTGTCTTCCTGCGTGTCCCAGGGATTGTCAAATTCATCTGCTCTGATTGGGGGCACAAAGCAAGCTTTACTTCAAGATGACAGGTAATCTGCCAGGACATGGGAATTTAGGATAACCCTCCCCTGTTTTGGCTTTCTCACACTGAATCTGGCATGCTTTTGGAATTGATTGCTTTAAGTAATTATACCAGGTGCTTTGTTTTTGCTTGAGGAGGTAATAATGTAAAGAGAGAAGGATCTAGAAAATGCATTTTGATTTGGGTTTGGGTTTGTTAGTTTAGTTTCTTTTTTTTTAAATGCTATTATTTGATTCCACTTCCAGTAACCTGATCATTTCTTCATGATCAGTGTTGGCCAAACACAGGTGGATGAAGGGCCATGTGCTCAAGGAGACCTTGAAGGTGCTGTGTGTTTTCTAGGCACCAGGATTCATTGAGACCTTACTGTAGAGCATAACGTCCCATTTGAAGTCTGTCTTTATAGGAAGGGCATCTTCAAATGTTAATCTCAAGTATTTCAGTAACTAGATTTGGTGAGGTTATTGTACAGGATATTAACACTATTTTAGCTCTATATTTACACTATTTTTAAATATGCAATGAGTGGGCTACAGAGTCCATTCTCTTTCTCCAAAAGGCTTGAGAATATTGTTTTGTTTATAGAAACATCTTTGAAATATGGCTGTGAGGTGGTCTGGTGACAGTCAAGGAAATGGTGAATTTCTCTAACTCAGAGGTCAGCAATCTACGGCTGGTGGGCCAAATCCAGCTCCACATCTCTTTGTGTACCTTCCAGGAGCTAAGAATAGCTTTTACATTTTTGAATGATTAAAACAAAATCAAAAGAGGGATATTATCCTGCAACATAAGAAAAGAATATGAAATTCAAATTTTAATATTCATAAATAAAATTTTATTGGAACACAGCTATATCCACTCATTTACATAATGTCTATAGCTGCTTTCATTTTATAAGAGTGGAGTTGTGACAGACTGTATGGCCCACAAAACCAAATGCACAAGTACTCACTATCTGGCTCTTTATAGAAAAGTTTGCCAATCTCTGCTCTAACTAAGGAAAATTTCTCTCCACTCTGTTTTTAAGATCTCTTATTTCAAATACATTCATCTTAGACATGCACTTAAGCTTCATTCTGGGAAGTAAAACAGTTGACTTCTCATCCAAAAAAAAAAATCTTTCTTTTGTAAATAGTAGCCATGGTTATATCTATATCTATGTATGTATCTATATATCTATATCTATATCCACACTACTACATATACGATTGCAGATGGAGGTGCTCCAATTGGCCTTGAGTCCCAACTGACTTCTCATTAACTAGCCATTGGCCACCACACTACTGAACAACAGGCCCCTGTGCAATTAAATCAACATGCAGGAGGCACCTACAGAGGTCAAGCCGTGACCCTGGCATTGGGGCTACACTGGAGAAAAAGAGGGTCAGGCTTCTGGTCCTCGTGGAGTGACTTTTGCTGATTCCAGGGCCTCCCCTGGCAGCTTAAGTGTTAACCCCTCTTTTTCCTAATTACTTGAAAAGTGGATAGACTGCCCCTCTGTCCATTCTCCATTTTTCCTCCTTCCTAGCCTCACCAAATCCTCACTTACAAAGCAGGTTAATGCTCTTGACTCTTCTGATCTTTTACTGTGTGCTTGCCTTGTCCTGTCTCTGCTACTTAAGCAAATGATCCTTGAAGGTGGACGGAATCTGGCTCTTTCATTAAAAGACACCCATTGGGATCTGTGGTTTTAAAATCTAAGCTCACCAATTGTCCTTACAATTGTATCTTGGAGACAGTCACAAAGAGGCACTGACATCTTTTTCTAACTCTTCAAGCTGCCATTTAATGAGCTCTTAACTCTATGTCAGTCTTTAGGCTAAGTAGCACTATCTTCTATAATAGTCCCTCAAGATCAACATCATGGTCATCATTCTATAGATGTGAAAATTACATATTAGAAAGGTTTTAAGTAATTTACCTGTAGCAGAGACCACTGATGATCAATAAGTATCCATGTGCTTCTCTGCATTTCCCAACTTCTCTCTCTCAGTTAGGTGGGGGTCACATGACTAGATTCTTACCAATGAGATGGGAGGGGAAGTGATATGACCACTCACAGCCCTGGCCCTTAAAAACATTTTGCATGATATTTCTTCTTGCTCTTTCCCTGCTGAAGGAGCCTTGGAGGAAATGTATTCCAGGAACTAAAGATGGAGCCCTGACCAGTGTGGCTCTGTGGGTTGGGCATCATCCTGCAAAGCAAAAGCTCTCAGGTTGATTCCTGGTCAGGGCACATGCCTAGGTTGCAGATTTGGTCCCCAATTGGAGCATGTGCAAGAGACAACTGACCAATATTTCTCTCTCATATCAATGTTTCTTTCCCTCTCTTTCTCCCTCCCTTCCCCTCTTTCTAGAAAATAAATAAATAAAATTTTTTAAAAAAGAAAGAGCTAACGATGGAAGAGGGCCACACCACCCATTCAGGTGTTGCAGGAGTGAGAAATAAACCCATCTTCTTTTAAATCACCGAGATTTTGTGGCTAACTTGTTACTGCAGCACAACCTAGTGGTACAGATTAGAATTTGGTATTCTGGCTCCAAAGCCCATACTCTCAGCCACTGTGCCATTTCTGAGGCTGTTTCTCCACCTCCCAGAGGGTTAAAAAAATATTCTTGTGAGATCTCTGTAAACATTTCTTAAAATAATGAATTTAAAGTGTCTTCCAATTCTGGCAGTGTTCTGAACCCTGTTAACACTCAGTATTTGCTTGAGCTGACTGACGAAATGACGTGCCATGAAACTAGACGGAATCAGCTCGCCCACTCCCCACTGAATTTTTATCACAGCATTTATACACTAGGGTTATTTTAAACAACCACGGGCTCTGGAAAACACTTTTAAAAACTCATGGAATCGTAGAACTTTTATTGAGACCACATAGTTTCACCCCCTCGTTTTAGAGATGAAGAAACTGGGAGGATCTGAGCAGGAGAGAGGTTTGCCCAAGGTCCTAAGACAAACACAGTAGAAGGATGGCCAGACATATGTCTTCTGACTCTTGACCCTGAATCCTATTAATTCTTGCCGTTCCTCAGAGATCAAAGGTAAAGACCAGCAGGTCTCAACGCTAATCCATTCCACAGAGACCAAAGGTAAGGACCAGCACGTCTCAAGGTTCATCCCAGTGCTTCCCTGCTGCACGCCAACTGGGTCAGTGTAAGGAAAGGGATGGAAGTTGGTCTCATTCAGAAAGTACCTGAGACTTCCTGGATTCCTCATTTTGACACCAAATGCTTTGTGGACCCAAATGTGATTTTTTAAAAAAGTGTTGGAGTGTTTGTATGTGAGGGTTTTTTTTTCCCCTTTAAAAAATAAAGCTAAGAGGGAAAAAGCTCCCACAATTACTTGGCTCTCCAGCGGCTTTTACAAACAGCAGAGTGATGAGAAACACATGGCTGGCCAGCGCTCCCCAACCGTTACAGGGGGTTTGCTGCTCCCTAGAGAGCCAGAGGGTCAGGCTGTGCTCCTCCAGGGGCCTCAGGACCCAGGCCACCCGAACTCCTGGGTCAAGTCAGTGGGAAGCCGACAGAGGCTGGTGGCTTGCTTGTGGGCAGAGCGGCACGGCTCCCTGTGTGGGACAGCAGCATCGGCTTGCTGATATTTATCAGGAGGTAATTGTGGCACCTGCCGCAGTCTGACCTGTACCAATGCATCTAAGGGCTCTGGTCTTATCACTCTGGCACATGCATCGGGACAGTTTCACACAGAGAATGGAATCATGCTTATTGAGCTGGAACGGTCGATGGTCTTATCACTCTGGCCCCGCCTTGGTGGCCTTCTGAAGTTGTACATTTTAACAGTTGCAAGTCCTGCTACCTGGGTGTGGTGGATTGTTGGGTCCCTGACGTGGCAGGAAAACCTCCTACACACAGCTGCAGTCCAGAAAAGGACCCAGACCAGAGGAAGCAGAGCTCAGGACAGGCAACGTGGGCAGACAGGGTAGAGGGAAGGGAGCGTCTGCATCCCACTCCACTTAGCTCTACTGGGACTGTGGAAACTTCAGCATCTGATGAAATAGTAATAATAAATCTGATGATGGCCCTCCTCTGGAAGACTATACCTGCACACATGGGGCACACAATTCCGGGGGTCTCAAGGGCGTGGTTGGCCCCTTTGTGGATGCAGACTGGAGGCTTCTGAGTTAGAGAAACAGCTGGGAAAGGTACAGTGGGATTGGGGGCAGAGGGAGCCTGGCGAAGGCGGGTGTGAAGAATCTGAGAGCAGAAAGGGCTCTGGGGTCTCCCTGTCCCAGAGGAGGCTAACTGGGGCCGAGAGCAGAGAAGAGCCTGGTTCGAGGGGTCCCAGCACCTCGCCGGTAGAGCCAGGAGTGGACCCCAGGCCTGCAGGCTCAACCCGGCCCCTGCACACCTCGGCCCATCACCTGGCAAAGGACCAAGTGGGACTGTGCTCCTCATTGCTTCAATTTTCCCTTCCCATCTAAAAAAAAAATGGTGCCAACCTTGAGGTCAAGTCCCAGGGAGAGGGATGGAGCCTGAGCCCCCTCAGGGCCCTTTCAGCGAGTGGCTGTTGTCCTGTTCAGAGATGTGCATGGTGGCTGAGCTGGGTGTTACGGGTGGGGCTGCCCAGCTAATCTGTGTATGCACGTAGTTACAGTCTACACTCAGCTGCTTCCAATAAGCATGATTCCATTCTCTGTGTGAAACTGTCCCGATGTAGGTAACAAAGGATACTTTTTAGGAAGAATGTACACATGTTCAAGTCTTAAGGCAGCTCAGCTGGGAGTTTTAACAATGATTTGCCAGATGAATGATTTTAGACAGGTGATTCAACCTTGCCATGTCTCAGCTTCCCCAGCTCTAAAATGAGAATAGTCTATCTCCTGGGGTACACAAAGTGAGGGCAATATAAGTATTGATAAATAAGTAAAACTTTAGAATAAATGCAACATTGTAGTTTAGTAAAGTCCCACTTACTTTACCTACTCAGTACGTCCTTCCCTGCCCCCAACCTTTAACTGTCACCGCCTTAGCTCAGCCCTGAAGTCCATCTTGCCTGGACTGTCCCCAGTTGGCTCCTTCCAATTGATTGCTCCACCTCTGTCTCTCCTGGCCTCCGCCCTCCTCATCTCTACCCCCAACGCCACCCCGAAAGTAAGCCTAGAAACTCACTCTCTAGCATGTTTGCTTAGGACGTTTTTGTGTACCCTATAGGATAAAATCTGAACTCTGTATGTAATATTATTTTCCTATTAAAAAAAAACACACTTGTGATTGTTTTATCCCCAATTACAATTCAGTATAATGAGCAAGTCTAGTTTCCAGCTCCCTTTACAATTCACCTGCCTTTTTTTTACTCCTATTTTCCACCAGGAGCAGCTTATTTGTTGTACCTGACAGAGACATACAGCTCTCTGGTCTCTCCCCTCCCTCTGCTCATCTTCAGAAGAGATGCTGCTTTCAGTCTGTTTCTTTCATGTTTAATTATGAGCTCATACCAGATCTGGTAGATTTATGACCCTTATTTATACCTTGGTGTAATCTGAAGTCATGGGTTACCTCTCTCCTGGCTTATTTTCATTTCATTAGCCTTTCAGCTCTCGCTCTGAAGCGAAGGAGACTTTGCCCTCACTTGGGTGTCTTCCAGGCAAAGTGAGCTGGACAGGGGACTTCCTCAGGGGCATGAAGGGGTGGAACCCTTCCCAGTGCTCCTGACATCACTCTGTTTAGGAGGAAGTGATCTGTTCCATTTCCTAGGGGCCCTTGGAACTGGACTTTGTGGAGCAGTTTTGAGATTGGCAGCCCTTGGGGGCAGGAGGGGTGTCCCAGACTCTTGAGGGTCCTATGCTCTGAATCAATGAGGCTTCTTAGGAAATCTGCCTCCTCAAAGTTAACACTGTGATTTTTTTTCAATGTCAACATGGACCCCTTCCTGCCCTCTCCCTGTCATTAGCTGAAGAAATAAACAGCTCTTTACTTTTCAGGGGTCAAAGTCTCCTCCAGGAACTCCTCGATCTTATTGACATCCGTCTTCACATCCCCGTTGAAGGTCAGGAAGGGCGGGTGGGTGCCAGGGGCCAGGTTGTGCAGGTCAGCTGGCTTCCTGTAGAGAGAGCAAGGTTCAGGTGGTGGCTCACATGAGGGCACCTCACGTTCGGGCAAACCTGAGACTTACTGTAAATGAGACTCCCTGTGCTGTCCAATGTGCCTGTCAGCAAAAAACAGACTTACAGTGCAGGGCGGGGAGGCTGGAGGAGGGTCTGAAGGGATGTGGTATGGCACAGGAAGTCCCTGAGAGAGGAGCCAGTTAAGAGGAAGGAGTTGAGTACTATTAAAAAACAGAAAGTAATGACAAGTGCCAAGTGTTCAATAACCCAGGGCAGAGGTCGGGCTTTGCTTTCAAATTTCGTTCACCAATTAGCTTAACAAAAAAGTACTATCCAGAATTCCAAACTTCATATGTTACTGGATCCAATCCTCGCACTTTTAGACTAAGAAATACCTTCTGTGTTGTTAGGGGTATATCATCAAGAAGGCTAGTGGCCTTGTGTTTGACAGGGGCCCACTTTACACCCACCAGCTGGTCGGAGTGCAAGAGCAGAGACGGAGCAAAGTCAGGGGAAGCAGGGTTGGCAGATGGGGCAACGGGGGAGGGGGAGGGTTGCACTGAGACAAGAGTAGAAAGAAGAGGAATAAGAGTAGGAAGAGTGGGAAGATGGAGCCTTCCACCGGCAGGACTAGAGCACCAGATTCACCCCAAATGCTCTCTGTGAGATGCAACACTTCTTGTGGGAGTCTGGAGTGGAAAACATTAGATGGAGGAACAGGAAAAAAAGTAAACAATGAGAGAAGAGGAATCTGTAATGAAACAAATTCCTGGAGTAATCAGTTTGGGAGGGGAAGAGAGGAATTTCAGTTATGGTGCTACGCCCCTACCGTTGCCCAGACACTCACGGCGTCCAGCTTCATCCCCGGACTCTGGGAACTCCTTAGGCAATTGAGACTGAAAGCATTTTTAAAATCTAATTTACTTAGTTTGCTTTGTACGTGTCCCTCCTTTCAGACAATAAAAGGACATTCTTTACCTCCCCCTTCTGTTTTTAGAGCTGACACAAGGCGGCAATGCTTGGGTTATCAGCGGGGAGGGGAAATCTACACTGACTCTATTTTTTAGCAATTACCTCTCTGTGGCTTAAAGATACAGAGCTCTATTTATTTTTTTTTTCCTGTGACTGGAGAGAACAATGGCCTCTGGAATCGGACGTCCTGGGAGGTACGGCTCACGGCTGCTGAAGCTCCGCTGGACATTTCCAGTGGATGCTGGGTCATTTGCGACCCCCTCTCTTTGTTGGCCCTCTTCAGCATTTATGGTTGAAATGATATACTTAGCATTTAAGTACATATTACTAAGTTTAATTTCTGGATTAGTGACTGTGTACCAGTCCTCTTTCCCTGACTGATCATCAGCTCCCTGAGGGCAGAGACAGAGCTAAGAACAGTCAACTTATGTGGAGCCCTTGCTCTGAGCCAGGCCAGTGCTGCGTGCAAGGGCTCTGCACGGCCTGCTCACTTACTATCACAGTGACGCTAGATGCCAGGCGTGACATTGCCCAGGTGAGGAAATTGAGGTTCACAAAAGTAAGGTAACTTGTTCAAGGTCACTCAGCCAATAAATGGTGGTGCCAGGATAAGAAATCAGTTTTCTTAGGAATTGCTGAACTTCATTGTATCATATTATATCATACGTTTTAAAAAATTCCTTAACTATTATATATGCATCTTCCTTCCCTTCCTTCCCTTCCTTCCTTCCTTCCTTCCTTCCTTCCTTCCTTCCTTCCTTCCTTCCTTCCTTCCTTCCTTCCTTCCTTCCTTCCTTCCTTCCTTCCTTCCCTCCTTCCTTTCTTCCTTCCTTTCTCTCTTCCTTCCTTCCTTCCTCTCTCTTTTCCTTCCTTCCTTTCTATCTTCCTTCCTTTCTTCCTCCTCCTTCTCTTCTTCAGTAGGAAAGTTTCCTTATCTATAAAATAGGAGTTGTGATACTTGGCTGTCCTACCACAAAGGGTGTTGGCAGAATCGGATGTGATAACAGCTGTGCAGGAACACCACAGGCATCTGAGGAATGCAGGGTGCTCCTTCTCCCACCCTGAGCTCCAGGTAACACACGAGTCCATCCTTATAAATCATAATCCAGGGAACTCCTCTTCTCCATTGAAGGAAGCCCTTCTCTCAAACAGTAAGAAAGTCTACTCTCTTTAGCTGTCACAGATAATAACTTCATGGCGGATGCATGTTCATTTATTTGACAGATATTAGCTGGGGGTCTGAATAAATCACCTGCTATGGCAGATACAGGAAAACTTAAAGCCTCTTCTTGAGGGATCTAAGGTCTCATTCAAAAGATGAAACAAGCTTCATAACTGATGTGTTGTGAACAGCATTGGTATTTGGACCAAGAAGACCAGGTCTTTAGAAGCAGCCCCTCCAATTCTAGACGGGCACCTTGGGCAAGTCATTTAAAGGTCTCCATCTCCGCTTCCTTGTATAAAGTGAAGAAGTAAGACTTTCACAAGGTCATATGTTGTGTGTGTGTGCGTGTGTGTGTGTGTGTGCACGCGCGTGTATGTTTTTAAATGGAAAAACACTTCACAGTTGTAAAGCGCTGGGACTGTGGATGCCATAAGCTGGTGAAGCACTAAATGACAAAGCAAGGCAAAGGTGCTGGGGCAGTTTGGTGGTGGGTTAGAGGGACAGATGTGACTGAGAGTGGTGGGCTAGGAGGGGCTGAGGCTTCAGGGGCGCTGGGACAACCTGTCCATTCAAGAAGGTGGGGACAGCCTCTGCGAGACAGGGAGCATTCTGGCCAAGGGCTGGAGGCTGGAGAGAACAAGGGCAGCAGAAGGCATTCCAACCTGACAGAGCCTGCTCAGCCATAGAGAGATGTTGGGAGAGAATATTGGAAAGAGCCAAGGAAAAACAAAGACAAAGGAAGGCTGCAGATGAGTTATTCCCCAGGCAATGGGCAGTGTCAGAAGGCGTCCTGGGAGTAGGGGGAGCCACAGGATTAGAGGATTGTTTGAGGAAAAATAACCTTATGGAAATACAAGGGGTGAGAGAGAGAGCGAGCTAGAAACAGAGAGAGAGAGAAACCTGGAAGGATCTGGGAGGAGGAAGACCAGTTTGAAGAACAAACATGCAACCCTGCTGGCCACAGAGGGACCTGAGCCACGTGTGTCCTGTGAGAATGAACGAGAGAGCTTGGAGTAAGAGAGAGCACAGTGGGAGGAATGCCTTGGGCTGGACTGACAATGGAGGTGGCAAGAGAAGGGAGCCTATAAAATGGGAGAACAAAGGAATTCAAGAGTGGAACCGAACTCACAGGAACAGTGACAGATAAAATGTTCTGCACGTAGATGTTGAAATGATAATAGAAAATGCAAGTGGACATACCTAGAAAATAGCAGGATTCTGGGTACAGGATAATTTACATAAAGGTGACCAAAAGAAGATGCTAAGATTGTCATGCAAGGAAAATCGAAGCATATGATAAATAATCAGAGAGTGAGCTCTGAGCTATTCCATATTTAAAGGACAGGTGATAGAGAAAAAACAGAAAACAAGATTGAAAAGAGTGTGAGTTAATACAAAAATACAAAAGTTGAACTGAGACAATACTCTGTAATTGAAGATTATAGAATAAAATAAAAAGCATTGACTCCTGATAGTGGGCCACTCCTGGCATTTTTACCAGGCATTAAAACTGCATTTTAGAAAAGGGAATTCCAGTAACATTCCTTCCTGCATGTAATCCAGAGCCCTGGCACTAAAGGATTCTAAAGATGGGGACAGAGCAAGGGAAATGATCCAGATCCCAACTCCCTGGAGACTCAGCTCTCACCTCCGCAGTCCTGCCGGGGTCTCCCAGGATTGGGGCCCTGGTACTACTGGAATGGCTAGCTTGTGGATTTTAAGATGTCCATGCCCGTCTTTGTGCCAGACATTCTCAACTGAAAATCCAATGTCCACTCCCTCCTTTTTCCTTGCTGATTGAACTTGGCTAATCTGGGCAGCAAAGCGCTCAGCCCCAAGTGAGATACTGGCTTTTGCAGCCGCTCTTGTAGCCAGGGATCTGGCCAAGGCATGAGCAGAAGGCTGCCGGGAGCCATGGGAAGGCTTTTTCCCTCCTTCATGGAAGGTTCTCTGTTCCTGCAGCTAAACATGTTCCTCATTAATAGAGCATCTGTTACCTTTTCAGATCCACGGTGGTGACATTGAACACGACTCCTTTCAGCCAGAGGATCATAAACAGACGCTGAGAGAAGGGACAGTTGCCAATGCTTTCCCCATCGATTCCAGCCTAGAAAAAAAGGGAACCAGAGTCCTGAGTTGGCACGTGCATACTAGCAAGAAGGAATAGAGGATTATGACATCCAAACCAAACAACGTTCTGAAGAGAACAGCCTAAAACCGTGTCCCAGCCTAACTTCAAAGGGCAGTTACCCTATACTATTCATCCTTGTCTTCCTAGTGTCTATGCAGGACAATGCCTGGCAAAGGGTAAGGGCTCAATAAATATGTGCTGAACAGAATTTGAGTTTCCAACATGGCAACTATGTAGAGTTACAACTTTCTGAAACCGCAGAACCCAAGCATCTCAGGGAAAAAGAGAACTTCAAAATCCCATAGTCTAACACCAATGATATTGGACCACCAACTGCTAGACCCCAAGTAATCATCTAGTCTGTGCTTGAATATCTCCACTAAGCAGGGCTTTATCTCTGTCAAAGCAGTCCATTCTGAGGACAGGTCTAACAACTAGAAATGTTTTTATTTGGCTGTGCCTAAAAAAATATGTTTACCTGTAGTTTACCCCCTTTGACCCTTTGGTCTTTGTTCCATGAGGATGCTGTAAATGCAAATACCTCAGAATCTGACTCTATCTTTCTATGTCTCACTAGTCAGCAGGCTCAAGACTTTAAATCAATACACTTATTAGTACTTGGCCTTCTGTGTCAATGAACCATTCATTTAAAATTATCCTTTCACTAAACAAATACATATTGACTATCAATTATGTGAAAGGCACTGGAGAAAATTGCATGGGGGATTCAAAGCTGCATTGACTCAAGCAGCATATCGCCTTCCATGGGGGCGGGGGTTAGACGGGAGGGAACACGTCTATCACAACAACAGACAGCATCGCTGCTTGCTTGCCTATTTCTGCTCATCATTACATTTCCCCTTCTCAGTACCCTCCTCAAAAGAGCATGTTTATTTATTTATTTTTTCAATGTCTGCAAGGCAAGTCTAGCTTTACTTCTGAGTGTGTTGCAGAGACATGAATTTTGTAAGAATTTATTTTCAGCACACACACGAACAAACAGAAAGGCAGGAGAAGTGATCTCTACCTAATTGATTTCCACAAAGTGGTTTATTGTCCCCTGACATGGTACTTAGAGGGAGAAATCATCCACTCTCTCTGGTTTGCTGTTGGCTGCCCTGGAAACCATGGCCTCGTCAGGTGGCCCAGGTCCCAGCTCCTCTGACAGGGAAGCCCAGGGAGGGAGGGCCCCAGCCTTCCTCACAAAGCTGCCAACGATTCAACCAACATATTGAAATAGGGACTTGCTTAGATTTTTATTTTTTAAAGAATGGGAGGGAAAAAAATGCATTCCCAAAGCCCAACACATTATTTCCCCCCTGAGGTTTGCTTTGCTGTGGCCTTCCAATGGGGAGGCAATGATGCCTTCTTTCATAGTGAGGGCCTAATTGTGTGTGTATTTCTGCCTTGCAAATCACTCCCAGCAGAGGCTCAGGTTTATAATGGGAAACTGGCGCCTCTGATGGTGTTGGCTGTAGGTAATTGCTATGAGATTAGTTATTTTACCTCTCCCTGAACTCCATCAAGAGCCCCATCCCTATTCAGTTCTCACTTTTCCTCTGTGGTGGAAAGAGACCCACCCCTGAGTAGCTGAGACGCCATGGCTCCGTTATATAAAATCTGAAAGATGGGAGGGCACAGGTGTGCCTGCCCACAGAGCTAAAGTTACCGATAAAGCCACATTCAGACAGGCAACCATTAATTTAATAATAGCTTGGAGCTAACTTGAGTTTATGATGTCAGTTCCCTAAGACCTTCCCAAGAGGTACCCTCAACAGGCACCTGGTTCTTGGCCCTTTAAGACATCAAAATCAAGGGGCCTTCCCCCAGGGCTGGCTATAAAGTAAGGGACAAGTAAAGAATTAAAAAACAAACAAACAAAAAAGCCACATTCACATACTAGCATCTGTTTCACCTCTGGTGGCAAGGTGGTGAGGGGGTGATAAGGGATTTAAGAAGGAACTAGTAAAATATTGAAATTATTATTAGAGGGACAAAAAAATTATATAATAATGATAGCGATAATAACAACTCATGTCAGTGTTGTCAGGGATTATTCTAAGTGTTTTACATATATTATTAATTCATTCATTCCTATGAGAAGTGAAATATTATCACCCTTTTATGAGTGTGGAAACTGAGGCACAGAGAGGGAAAATAACTGGCCTCAGGGTCCCAGGATTGAACCCAAGTGGTCTGACTCTTAACTGCCATGCCCAGAGTTCATCCTGAAGACCCAGGCAGGTAACATGTCCCCTTAAGGTCACAGAGCTGGAAAGTGATGGTGCTATAAGCGTATGCATGCGCCCTAACCTTTAGTCCCCGTGCACACAGCTGGCCACAGGTGTAGAAGGTGGTGGCTGTCATAGCTCCCCACACTTCCATTATTGTCTTAAATTATGACTGGAGGCCTCGTAGACAAGAATTGCCGAAAGACCACTAGAAGTAGTGTGTGAAGATTCCGTCATTAACCTACTGTTTTCACATCCCTCTTTCAGCTTCTTTCATTTTCTTTTCTTTTATTGAGGTAAGAACACTTAACATGAGATCTATGCTGGAACAAATTTTTAAGTGTACAATACACTATTGTTGACTATAGATAGGCACAACGTTGTCCAGCAGACCTCTAGAGCTTATGCACCTGGCCTAACTGAAACGTTATGCCCGTTGATTAGTAACACCTTTTTCCCCGACCCTGCTCCTGGCTACCACCATCCCAGTCTTGGATTCTATGGTTTTGACTGTTTTAGATACTTGGTATAAATGGAATCATGCAGTAGTTGCCTTTCTGTGACTGACTGATTTCACTTGGCTAATATCCTCGGGGTTCATTCATGTTTCATGTATTTCAGAATTTCCCTCGTTTTTTAAGACTGAATGGTATTCCATTTGGTGTATACTACATTTCCTTTGTCCTTCCATCTGTCGATGGACATCTAGGTTGTTACCACATCTTGGCTATTGTGAGTAGTGCTGCAATGAACATGGGGGTGCTAATATCTCTTCGAGATCCTCGTTTCAATTCTTTTGGGTAAATACTCAGAAGCGGAATTAATGGGCCGTATGGTAGTTCCATTTTTAATTTTTTTTAGGAATCTCTACATTGTTTTCCATAGCGCTCTACCAGCTTGCATTCTCACTAGCAGTCTGTAGTGTTGCAATTTCTCTACTTTCTCACCAATACTTGTCATTTGTTTTTTTCAGTAATAGCCACCTCACAAATGTGAGGTGATATCTCATTGTGGTTTTGATTGGCATTTCCCTGATAATTAGCGGTGTTGAGCATTTTTTCATCTATCTGCTAGCCATTGTGTCTTCTTTGGGGAAATGTTTGTTCAAGTCCTTAGCCCATTTTTAACTGGGTCATTTGTTTTTCTACTATTGAGTTGCCCAGCTTTTTCTTTTCCTCCCTTACAATTCACCAGTCCTGTGGCCTGAATAAACCATTTGGTAAGTTCACAGGTTAAATGTGGTGTGCTTGTGGAAGCCACTAGAAACATCAACCAAGAAGAGCCAGATGGGGTTCAACGGGACCCCAGGCTCTGAAAACTGGGAGGGAAAACCCAGACAAACTTTGGTCCAAACAGACTCTGAGCACTGGGAGCTAGAGACAGGCACAAAGTGATGTACACGTTGAATAATGTCCCCTCTCCCAATTCAGGCCCACCCAGAACCTAGAAGTGTGTCCTTAATTGGAAATAGGGCCTTTGCAGATGAAATCGAGTTAAAATGAAGTCATATTGAATTAGACTGGGTCTTAAATATGACTGGTGCCCTTATAAGAAAACGGAGGCAGAGATCCAAGCGATGCATTTACAAAACCAAGAAACACCCAGGATTGCCAGAAAATACCAGAAGCTAAACGAAAAATTCTTCCCTAGAGATTCTGGAGAAAGCATGGCCCTGCTACCACCTTGATTTCAGACTTCTGGACTTCAGAACTTTGAGAGAATACATTTGTGTTGTTCTAAGCCACCCAGTTTATCGCAATTTGTTGTGGCAGCCACAGGAAACTAATGCATGCAGAAAAGTGTGGAAAGCGGAATTGTGTACAGCTAATGGCAAACTTTTATCTTTTGTGTACAGCTAATGGCAAACATCTATCTTTTAGCAGGTAGATCAAAAAATGGCAATTTTTTCCATTTCTGCTTCTCAATCTCAAGTTCACAATTCTGCTTTGCACAGGCCTAGTGGGCATGTTCACAACTGCCAGCCAGCTACAACCCCAAAGTACTTATTCCCTAGATATAGCAATGGATTGACCGTAAGTTATGCTATGTTATACTGTACTATATTACCTACTATGTTATACTATACTATATTATAGATTATAAAGTAAAATAAAACATAAAATAGTATACACTGTGTACTATATACGTGTGATAAGAATAGCATCATGTAATTATTATATAGGTTGTATGATTATACATCATATATTATACGCTGGATAAGTCATTACATGCTATGCAATATTGCCTTTCACGCAGTCTCTCCTTCTATACGATGAGCTTGTCGACCTCCAAAGCATGGGCCATGTCTTATTGATTTTGCCATCAGCAGCAATAAGCAGAGCTGCCTGAAAACCCGTGGATACTCAGTGCCAGTCAGACTGGGTACATGCTGAGGGGAGGACGATACCACTCCCTCTTTACGGCTTGAGTATCTCCAAATTCTGATGTTGGCACTCCGAAGAGTGTTCTGGGAAAATAGCACAAGTTCCTGGTTCTAGACCTGTCTCTGCCTCTAATTCACTGTGTGACCCCGCGTAGGTCAGTCTCCTCCCTCTTCTGGACTCAGTCACTGCACTTATAACTTCCTGCAATTTTGTGAATTCAAGTGGCTAATACAGATTTATTTAGATAGCAATTGTCAAAGATTTTGGTCTCAGAATTCTTATATGCCTTTAAAGAATGTTGAAAATCCCAAAGAACTTCTGTTTATGTGGATTATAGCTATCAATATTTATTATATTACAA